GGGAGAGGGTTCTTCTTGGTTCCGACTTCGACGGAATACGGGCCTTCGCCTTCCACGAAGTCCGTCAGAATCGGAGACTCGGCGGCGAGGCGGGCCCGCAGGCCCGCCAGAGTTTGGGGGAATTGGGAGGAGGATGTCGCGGTTGAGGGCGGGGTTTGGGTGGAGGAGGAGGAGGAGGAGAAGGACCGGGCGGTCGATTTTACGATCCGAGCCGCTAGGGCTGTGAACCGGGTCTGCATCTCTCGTTGGGTTTGCGAGAATGCGATCGGAGACGGAGGGAGATTCAGATGGTTCGACGATGGTGGGGACGAAGAAGGTGATGAGGATTTGGTGGTTGGTTTGGTTGGCGCAGACAATTTTGGATCTGAAATCACGGCCCACGTTTGATTTAATTACGGGCCTGATATTTTGATTGTGGATTGGATCAGTTTTGGGTCATTGGGCCTGAGAAATTTACAATCAAACATTGTGGGTTTTTGGCAATCACATCAACCCTAATGTTAATGAGAGGTTGTGAGTTCGAGTTTCGTAGATTGCTAGTTTGATATCAATTTGATATGAAGGTGCAGAAGTAAAAGAAGTGTACGAACATCATTTTTTTAACTAAAATGTAAATAATTGTCCAAAAATCGTAAACAAAATGTAAATAAAAAATGTTTGAATCATTGTGTAATGTGTGATTAAGAAAAAAAGGAACAAATCAACGAGGTTCAACCAAATAGAGACATAGAATATAATTTGGGATAAGAGTAGGTGCCTCTAAGATTATTTTTAAACTCTTTTAAAAGTTAATTATGCAAACTCTTCAAGCTACGTAACACAATTTTGATAAAAATCATATCATTTTAAGATTTTTACACCCAGTGAATTGTTATGAGGGACTTGTGGAGGTTTAGTTTAGTTTCGCTCTGTCAATATCACTAGTACAAGAAAATGGAGTGTCTAGTCGACAAGGAAAAATAAGACTTTATTGAAGTACTGAAAATGTTGGAAACAAATAAAGGCCCTTATTCCTTAGTTTGGAAGAAAGGGAAACGAGGGGATTTCATGTGATTGGAGAGGATGGGATCAATTCGTCAAAGTATGTAGATTGGTCCCAATATTGAGAATTTATTCTGTACTTTATAGTAGCTTGATTATGTCGTGACTGCAATCTGAGAGATTTTTTGTATGCCGAAAACATAGTCTAGTACACCAAAAATAATAATACAATTGGTGAGAATCTTGAAAAATAAATTTGAATCAATTGTATTATTACACTTAGTATATTGAACTCTGTTCCCGGACAGTGAAAAATTAGACGTTGTGTTTGGTGGGGGAGTTCATAAATTGAGCAACTTTTTTTCTTTTGGTCTATATAAATTTAGCTATTCTAATGTGACAAATATAACTCTCATCACAAATCCGCACTTGCATGCATATATGGCTATGGTTTTCTAACAAGTGGACCCCTAAATTTTGTTGGCACCAATAATTATTTTTATAAACTGTCACGTAATATCATTGATTTAGTTATTCAAATATAAATAAATGACAAAATCTTAATTTTATAACACCCGCATATTAGTAATATTATGTGACGATGTAGTCGTCTAAAATAAAACAGAATATTGTGAGAACATTTAATTCAATCGTGTCAACTTCTGATTTATTGATTTGAGCAGCCAATAAGAGCATCAACCTTTAGTCGTGAACAAGTAGCATCTATTCAATTCAATTGAAAGGTCCAGTGGATTGAGGAGGGCACCACCGAGGGTCCTATAAATAATAATAAACATTCTCAGAGAGTAACGGAAACGGTTTGACGATGTCAAAATAAGCATTTGGATTAGGTAATGCATGACATACATGCCTTCTTCGACCTTTTGATTATAAATTGACAACATAACGTTGACATAACTGTTGAAATATTCTACATTGATCCTTTTTTTTTTTCTTTTTTAAGAAAAGAAGAATTTAAATTCTTAACCTTCCTTCAACTAATACATACGTTTGTTGTCATAAAACTTCACAGTTGTCGGACTGTACAAGTGATAATTAACAAGTTAAGAATAATATCGATGTTGTTGAAAGTAGGCATTTGATTCGCCTCTCTGATAATTTGACAAGAACAACAAATGATGTAAGTCAAAATATGTTTATTGTAGCTATTTGGCCTATAAATAACTGTACAACAATGGAATATTTAATTAGCATAGTTTAACATGCAGTCGATATTTACTTAGTTTAGATTAACATGCTCAAATGTTTACTTAGCTGAGATTAACAAGCACTTAATATTTACTTAGCTTAGCTTAATAATTAGTATGAGTGTGACTTGGATAGCCTTATTAACAGCTAAAAATCGGCTTATAATGTTGCTTTCTATGTCTTTCTCCTCCAACTCCATTACCAGATATGCCCATTCATTAACATCATCTTAATTTGAATCTCCAAATTTATGCGCATGACCTAATTTATTTTGTTTGAAGAAAAGGAGATTTCATCTTGCAATCTTTCCGACCATTAGAAATAATAGCCATACAGTATTTATGTCACACTCACCCTTTCTCAAGTCAAAATGGTATCAAAATCTTATACCAAATCACTATATCGAAGACAATAAGCTTTGCTCCCTTTTTTTTACTTTTTATATATTGTATATAAGGAAATGGAGCGTTTTAACTTACTCTACATTTCGAGACAAATGCTGCTTTATCATCATCATAAATTGAGCAATAAAAGGATCTCGCACAAACGCGTGAGACGATCTTAATTTTCAAGTATGAATGGTCAGAATCAGCTCACGCGCGCATGCACGACTATTAATCCACACATTTTTTACGTAAGTTTTATGAATAATGAGTTAGATTAGAGAAATCATATTACGTTTGTACATTGGGACAAGTGATAAATTGATCAATAATTGGGCAAAATTAACTAATACAATTAGTAGATAATCACCTCTTAGTTACATAATCTAGTAAACTAACCATCACAGTTGCACGTTAGCAGACAAAAGAGGCAGCTGCAAGCCTGCAACACACCAATTTCAGCGGTGTTGTCGCCGTGGTACGTGCCATTCGCGTTGTGGCTCTCTGTAATATACTATTTCTTCCGGGGACAAAACAGACAACTGCAAAAATATGATCAAATCGGATGACGTCAGCAAAACGACGCAAGCGTTGGCGTATTCGGTAATTAGCAACTTGTAATTTAACTTTATGAGTGCTTTTTTTTCTTTTGATTATTTTACTACTTTGTCTTTATTTAATTAAATTATTTCACCAAATTTGTCTTTTTTGCCTTTATAGAATAATAGTCGGTGGGCCTTAATTGGCAATTGTCAGACAGATTCTGCGACGAATGACAGCTAAAACCCGCCTTTCACTTATCAGATACCCATTTTTTCTTCATTTTTTCTTACGACATGGGTCCTTTTTTCTCCAATTTCTGCTTTTTCCAAAAGCCGCTTTTCCTCACCTCCAATTTTATTCCACACTCTAACATTTATGACCCAAAAAAAAAAAAAAAAAGATTGACGCTCCACGTCATCCCAACTGGCTTCTGGGAAAGACCAAAATTTATGACCGTTTGCGTAATTTTGCTTTGCAGCGGCTTCTATATACAGAGTATTGATATCCATTCTAATTTTCAATTTTTACGAGTTTGTTCAATTTCTGTCGGGGATCAAACAAATTAAAGAATATTAACAGCTAGAAATCATCAAAAATATTTAGGAGGTAAAAATACGTGTTTAAATAATAGTATCCTATGCTACTGAGTACTACTGTCTAGTGTACTCCTTTTTGTTTAAAAATGAGAGATTTTAAGTATAACTCTTATTAAAAACGAATTTGAATCGATTGTAACGTAGATAATATCGCTTGTTAAATAAAAATAACAGTATCCTACGTAAATGTGTGGTGTTGCATTTTGTGGGCATTTAATTGGCTGGACGAAAAAGCCCATAACAAGTTAAGAAATCATTCGACAAAACACGTGAAGGCGATAGAAAACTGGCGGGTATTATTGACTGTACGGTGTTTTATTGTAAGAAACTTTTGACATTTAGTTTTCTCGGTTTCTCTTTACTGACCACGTTACGCGCGAGTGGGAAGCGTGGCAACACATTTACCATGCCAAATAGTTTTGTTCACCAGGTTGAACAATGAACTAATTTCAGTCCAAAGGAAACAAACATCTCAATGAATATTTATTATTTTTTTTCATTTTATTTCTAATTTTATGGAGAAGGATGGAAATCTGGAATTAAAAGATCGTTTTTTAAAGCACGTTCTCTTTAGTTAATTCAACTTTTAAAAACTTTGTAAATGATCATATAATCTAACGACATTTAGTCTTTACTTTGTTGAAAGAAATCTTAGGTTCAAATTTCGCATTTAACTGTTGTAAATAAAAACTTTAGAACAAGAGTTATTCAAAAAGGACTTCACGATACGTAAGATGATATCTTTCTCCAATAAATTCAATTGATTTTCTACTTAACTTGAAAGTATTTTGAGATCACATAATAATTAGAGGCATTGTACATTATATTTCAAAGAAGGAAAACTTCTTGAATAAAGCATATCAGTAATGCGCTCAATCTTTACAAAACTAACATGATAGTCATCCTATTGGAAATGCTCTAATAACAATCAAATACAATGTTAAATTAATTAGATATATTATCAATCGAACATAATAATAATTACAAATTTAGATATACTCACAAGATTTATCTTCCTTACATATTGAAGAAAAATGAATTCGAACCATATTATTTATCTCCAAATTTATGTGTTGCAGAAAAATAAAAATGATTCGAAATTTTACTATATTTAGAAAAAAAAAATTCCGATGTAAAAAATTATAACACGCGCTCCACGCAGAGCGTGGACTTGATGTTTATACTTTTCTTACAAAGAGATAAGTATGACTTACGCACACACTTAGACTGTTCCTCAGTTGAATAAGTTTAGAGAGAGAAAGACAGAGAGAGAGAGTGGGAAGAGAGAGAAGAGTTTCAAAGCTTCACAGCACGTCCTCCTTCTCCCTCACTCTTTCTCTTTCTCCGCCTTTCCGCATTTGCCTCTGCCTTTTTCTCCCACTCTTTCTTTTCTCCCAAGGCTTAAAAAACAATTTCCGGTAATTACCAATCCAAATTATGACGCAATAATTCTGTTGACGTCCCTCACTTCCGCAGCTACATTGCTTCTTAATTCGTTGAATCTTAGCTCTTAAGGTTTTTTTATTTTATCTTTTCCTGCTAAAATATTCCCAGATAAACAAATCACTACCTTTTCCAGAAAGCTCTCTGCATTTCTTCCGCATTATTTATTTCAATAATCTCCATTGATTTCACTCAGCGTTTGCTTAGTTATTATTTCACCTCTCCACTTTCTCTGTAAGTTCATCCCATTGCTTTTCTTTTTACGAGAATCACATGCTTCTGTATATTTGATTCTCTTGTGAAGTTGTTTATATTTGTATTTTGGCAATTGGGTTTCCATTTTCTGGGAAATTAAGATCATGGGTTGTTTTATTTTTGTATAATTAATAATTATGTTTTAATTACGTGGTTTTTGTTCTTGGATTAGTTTTCAGATTGGAAGATGATTTGTTAGTGATTGGATAGAGAAAAGGAGAATTGAGAAGTATTCCAAAACTTGGGATCAATGGGAAGGAAGAGATCTGTTTTGGAGCACAAGAACTTGAAGATCTATGCTGCGGTTTCAGTGGGGTTGCTTTTGATCTACTTTGCTCAAGTTTCTCTTGGAGCAACTAGTTCTACTGATGGTAATTCTCTACTTATTCGATAGGTTTTTCGCTGTAATGTGGCTTCGGTGTGGCGTTTTTCGGAGTTCATATGCGTTGGTTTAGTGTAATTTTGTGTGGAAACATGTTTACTTGATTGTAGTTCTTAATTCTTATGGTTAATTGGAGATGTAACCACTTATTGGATGTGTTTTACTTGTGGTTTGATCAGTTGCTGCAATTAACAACTTACACGCTGCGCTTGGCACGCCTGTGCTTCCCAGGTGGACTTCTGCTGGAGGAGACCCGTGTGGTGAAGCATGGCAAGGTGTTCAATGCAACGATTCTGTAATATTGGAAATGTACGTTAATCTCTTGCTCGCCTTCTTTTATTGATAGAAATTTTTAATCGTAACATGTAAATTGTCAACGGCTTATGGTTCTAATGATTTTATAGAGTTCTTAATGGCGCTAATTTGGGAGGAGAACTGGGTGAAAAGTTGGGAATGTTTGCTTCAATACGGGTTATGTAAGTTGTACTTGCTCACTCTCTCTCTGGTTGAACTTGATGTGTGTTTACGTGTGTGAGGTTGTTGGTTTGTTATATCTTTTGCTTCAAGTTATTTTTTCATTCACTGGCATTAAAATCCTTTATATTGTTCTTCATTTCAAGATAAAACTGGCAAAATGGGAGTGATATGCAAGAGGGGTTGATTGCGAGTAGATTTTTCTGTTTAAAGTTAGCTGCATGTTTTTTTACATGAAGTTATTTACATTGGATGATAGTGTGGGTGCCAAGCTCATTCCTAGATGGTGTTCGACATGGCTTATTAGGATGATAGTGCATTTGACAATGTGAATTGTTTCAATTGTGCATGTGCGCGCCACATATAGAATGCAAACTGTCGGGGAATAATCGTAGAATACTTGCCTCACATCATAATATGTAGCTGACCTTACGTTTTTTTTATACATTTGTGGATTATTGACATTGGTGTTTGTGTGCAGAAATCTAAGCAACAATCATATCGGAGGAAGTATTCCATCCAATTTACCTGCCACCCTGCGAAGCTTGTATGTTCAACCTCTTTATGGAATTATAATGTTGTACTGCAAATAATTAAATACTAGCCCGAGACTGCTGAAATATTTCTACCTGTTGTGCTCACATCCTTGTGCAAAAGATTTGATAGTCTTTACCTTTGGCAGTTTTCTTTCAGGTAACCAATTCACCGGAAGCATCCCAGATTCTGTAGCCTCGTTAACTGTGCTCACAGCAATGTAAGTCATCAATTTGCTAGCTTTTGGTACAGCACAGCAGCTCCCAGTTTTTTCTGTGACTGTTTCTAAGTTATGCTATTTCGCCAATCAGGTCTCTTAATAATAATCAATTAACCGGAGAAATACCAGATTCCTTCCAAGGCATTCCAGGGTTGACCAACTTGTAGGTTCTTATTCTGAACTATTGGGAGTTATACTTTCCAGACTACTATTGTTGTCTATTAGTGGCTGATATACACATTTACTGTTTGCAGAGATTTTTCCAGTAACAATTTGAGCGGCCAACTGCCACCCTCTCTAAGAAACCTAATAACCCTGACCACTCTGTGAGTATCTTGTGTCTGAGGTTTTTCAATAAGCATACTTTATCTCGATGAGTTGAGCTAACTCCTCTATTAGCAGACATTTGCAGAACAATCAGCTGTCTGGAACCATCGACGTTTTGCAGGATCTTCCCCTGAGTGACTTGTAATCCTCTAAACAATTCATGTTATTTGTCATATACAGTACTCAGAAGTTTATAATTTTATCTTGCCTTCTGATTATGTCTGCTGTTTCTTTCCCATCGTAAATGATTTTCTGCCTTGTTGAACAGGAATATAGAGAACAACCTTTTTGCTGGACCCATACCTGAAAAGTTGCTCAGCATCCCGAATTTCAAGTGCGGTTTCACACACTGTAGACTTATCGTTAAATGAAGCGTTAAGTTTTATTGTTATCAAGGAAAGAGATTCTGCACATAGCTAATTCTTATATTTGTAATGCAGAAAAGATGGGAATCTATTCAATTCTTCTCTTGCTCCAGTCGCTCCACCAACATCCCCGTTGACTCCACCCACATCCACATCGAGTCCGCCAGCAGCTCCACTGCCATTTTGGGGACCACCTACTGGGAAAACACCTGGCAGAAGTCCTCCAAAAAATGGGACGGTTGATGGACCATCTTCACAAGATACATCAAATTCTGGAAGGCCGAAGAAATTTCTAACTAAGAAAAGGGTGGTTGGAATATCAATTGGAGGGGCTTTCGTGTTTATTATTTTTATACTAGCGATTCTGTTTTTTATGCCAAGACGTAGTAGACGAAGAGAAGAGGCTGACGGAATTTCCAATCGGCATCAAATAGGTGCATATACTGGTGACAGGGAAAATCCTCCCGGGGACAATGGGTCCTTGGTGGTTCTACCGACCAATCAAATACAGAAGGGTAACTTCTCTCACTTTTTTCTTCAGTTTAATTTCTTTCTTCAGCCGTCCAATTTTATTCATCTTATTCTAAGAAACTCACTAAAATCTTGGTGAACAGTTCCAAAAGAAGCAGTTGTGAGGCCGAAAGAGGATGATGAATCAGAAACCAGAAGAACATGGGCAATTCCAAAGCCAAATGATGAGCAAGATAGAAAGGTACATAAAATGGCTGCAGCACCAAAGCGAGAGGATAGTTTGAGTGCACTTGATTTGTATTCGATGCCTGCTCCTCCTCCTCCACCTCTCCCTCCTCCACCACCGCCTGTTCCGAAGGTCATTGTGAAGCCAATTGTGCCTACGGAACTGCCTACGCAGAAGCCTGCCACCAAAAGTCCAAACCGTACAATTTCTGCAAAGCCGTTTACCATTGCTTCCCTTCAGCAACATACAAACAGCTTTTCTCCGGATAACCTTCTAGGATCAGGCATGCTGGGAAGTGTCTATAGGGCACAGCTACCTAGCGGAAAGGTCTGTGTTTTTATGATGGGTTTTGCTTTTATTGCATATACCTAATGGCTGAGTCGTTGAATGAAATTTATGTTTGGTGCTTGTTTTGTACCATTTTAGTAATTTCGTTATGCTAGGTCCACCAGCATTGCTTGATTGCTTTCAACAGCTTTCTTGTTTACAGTTTATTTATTATCTGCTATGTGTACTTCAAACCTGAGAGTTCTTTCTGAACCATAGGATCGATGAAATAACCATGTGGCATGGGTACATCCAATTCTTTATATAGGGATTCGGTGCTTCATGTTCATTATGTGATAAGTTTTTAGAAAACCAAAACCCATTTTTCCCTTCATTCCAAGAATATATAAATTGACATGTAGAGAGTTTCCATTTTCATTGACATCAAATGTCAAATTTGATAAGCAAGTTCAGGACGATCAAAATCAAGCTGTCAAACTTGATAAGCGATTTCAGGGAGACTTCATAATATCTATGAATTTCACTTTAAGCAGAAAAGATGTGGATATTTTACTTTATAAAGACTAAAGGTTAAATGAAGTCTTATCTACATTTGCAAAAACATCAAGGCATAGGACAGAGTTGCATGAAGAGAGTTATTTCATTTTTTCAGGTACTTTTGTATGCATGAAGATAATCTTCTCCCTTCCCGCGTCATGTGCTTCTATATCTTGTGATCGAGCAGTTTCTGTTATATGGATAGAATAGTTTAGAAACTGACACTATTCTTTTGGGATGCTTTTGCAGCTACTTGCAGTCAAGAAATTGGACAAAAGAGCTTCTAGTCAGCAGAAAGATGACGAGTTTCTTGACCTGGTAAACAGCATTGACAGAATCCGGCATGCTAATGCTGTCGAGCTTATGGGTTACTGTGCAGAGCATGGTCAAAGGCTTCTTATCTACGAGTATTGCAGTAATGGTTCACTGCATGATGCTCTGCACATAGATGATGAATTCAAGAAGAAACTCTCGTGGAATACTCGTATTAGAATGGCACTTGAAGCTGCAAGAGCCTTAGAGTGAGTACAATTTCCAAACATAGTCATGACACTTCTTTTTCCCTGATCAAATGGTAATCGGAGATACAGTGAGTCTAATCCGTTTTGTTTTGTTCGAGAAGGTATTTACATGAAGTCTGTCAGCCACCTATTGTACACAGAAATTTCAAGGCTGCCAACCTTCTCCTTGATGATGACCTTTCCGTGCGCGTTTCTGACTGTGGCTTGGCTCCCTTGATATCATTGGGATCTGTGAGTCAGGTGAGTCATAGTTCTACAATTTTTTTAGTTGCTTTTTTTCTACAAAGGGTCACGAGTCACAAGTTCATAACCAACATTGACGACTTAAGTGTTTTGGAGAAATTTATTTTATTTCTTCTTCATGATTTTAATTAGTAGGAGAATTTTTTGTGATGGGTGCTTTCTCCATTTTGATTGTATACAAGTATAGATAAATAGCCTGCAAATGAACAGTAACAAAGAAAAGTAGTGTAAGAACGGAAACGATTCCTTTGCATCTTAAATGGATGTAATTTTGCATTCTAATGTTAGCCAATATACATTTGCTTTTCCCTGATAGTTTTGTAGCTTTTGGTCATTCCCGTCGGTTTGATTTTCCCTTCCTGACCTCGAAGCTTGCTTATTGGACTATCAGTCTTCCTTGTTACTTTGTTTTTGAAAGACTTGCAGTTTCTTGATTGTCCACTTGGGCTTTTCAGGCACACTATTGTAGAGCCATTGAACTGATGATACTACTTACCGTCATCGCCAATGCTACTTACTAATACTAAATTGTTTCTTACTATCAGTTGTCAGGACAGCTTCTATCGGCCTATGGTTATGGAGCTCCAGAATTTGAGTCAGGAATTTATACTCATCAGAGTGATGTTTACAGCTTTGGGGTGGTAATGTTGGAACTATTAACTGGCCGGAAGTCCCATGACAGGTGAGAAGAATGACAAATTCAAGTTCTTAATTGCATTCTCACCCCCTTCCTCTCGACTCCTGCTTAATTTGTTTAGTATTTGAAAATTTTGAATTTACAGCACAAGGAACCGAGGGGAGCAATTCCTGGTTAGATGGGCCACTACCCAGCTTCATGACATTGATGCACTATCGAGGATGGTTGATCCTTCTCTAAATGGACAATATCCTACAAAGTCTTTATCGCATTTTGCAGACATTATATCTCGATGCATTCAGGTGAGCAACACCTTTTTGACTTCTTAAATTATGTAGTTAAGTAAGACTTTGTTTTATGGAGTTTGGGACATAATATTCTTCAACACGGGCATCAATCGGTCGGTAGACATAAATTACCTGGTATATCTATTCGGTCAAAATATATAACATGCTTTAAATGCTCATACGCATAAGTTTGATTTACCATATATGTTGTTTTACTACCTCCACTTCAAAACGAACCATATTCCTAACACGGATTGCATTCTACAGTCGGAGCCAGAGTTCAGGCCACCAATGTCTGGAGTTGTCCAAGACCTATTAGACATGATACGGCGAGAGCCTAATGGCAGTGGATCAAGTGAAGACTCACTCTCATGAAAAAAGACCTAATGACCACACTGTTAATGATGGGGATGCACTAGTTGCGGCTACTACTAAGAAGAGACATCCGCGTAAACATGCAGCAGATGATTGCCGGAACTGTCACCACCAACGTTTGCATCACAAGCGTTTCCAGAAAACTCACTGCAATCAACCAGACAAAGGTTCTGGATGTGAATAGCCCTACAGTCCGATTTTAGTGTTCGATATTTTGTGGTCATTCTATTATTATTTTAACTCGTGCAACGTCGTCTGTCCTGAAAAATTAGCTAACCAATTGTTTGGCAATTTGTCACTAGAAATTCTTGATAGTGAATGATTTTCGGCTTGTGTATATCTGTGATGCCTTACAAACTTGATTTGCTACCGGTTCAGGCGTTCTATTCCATTTCGTAACCGATCTGCACTGCGAATTTTCGACGGATTGAAATGCCGAATACCCGAATCACTTGTAAGGAATGGCAGGAATTTGATTCGTTCTGTCATTAGGTTCTTCACTCACAGGCTGATCTGATTGTAGTTTTAGCAACTTTTTGTGAATGCCTGAGTGAAGATGAAGTTAAAACTGGTTTTGGTACGACCAATTGGGCTGCATGTATTCCGATTTCCGCAGTATTTGATAAATTGCTCACATGTGAGGAGGTATACTGAAATATAAAGACGTTACATAGACAATTTACGTGTGTCGGAGAGTAAAAGTTAATAATAATTAGCGGTTGGTTGAAACCATTTTGATAGGTGTTAAATAGTTAAAACAAATTTGATAGCTTAGTGATTGTGGTTGTATTTAATCACCGCTATTTTCGTTCCCTTGATGCATTCCTGTAATGCAAGACTAGAAGAATTTGGAAAATATACATGTGAAGGTCCCTTGAGGACCATCCAAATGTTTTGTACAAGTTCCTTTTGTACCTACCAAGTATTTGATGTAATGCATTTTAGGCATATCTCGACAGGTTGCGTCGATATCACAGACAAATTTTTATCCAAACTTAAACCTTGAACATTGAGACCTCATAAGATTCAAATTCTGAATTTACAACTGAACGCACATGAACCATTTAAATAGTAATCAAATCCAATACATGACGATGTTACGCGCCTCTTACATTTAAATTTAATTTCTATCGATACACTAAATGAAAATAAATCTAGTGAGTGTGACAGTCTTAATTAAATAAATACGCCTCCAAATCTCACTGATAAGGAAATGACTGAAAACTACGATTTTTTTCTTTCCATTTTTTAATGTCTAAAATATGACACGTCGGATCAAACAGAAGGCCCCACACCGCGCTTCCCCGCCAAACGGTTTTATATAATATTTTCTCTGATTTTCTGTTTCAATTTTCCCAGGAAACAAACGGCTCCCACTAGAACCAAGGCCGTACGTACACTCTTTTGTCTCACCAATCAACCGCAATAACCCCTCTCTCTCCCTCCCTCTCTCTCTCTCTCTATCCCTCTCATTTTCCGTGATCGACGATTCCGATTCCCAAAACCTCTAACTCTCGCATTCCCGATTAGGATTCCCATTGTTGTCGCACAGTCACCAGAGCGTGGATCTCCTGGTTCGCCCCCATGAATCGATACGATCCGAACCCTTTCGCCGACGAGGAGGTCAATCCCTTTGCGGTGAGTGCCGTTACAGACCTACATTTACGTATACGAGTTTTCGGTATTGGAATTGCTGAAATGTTGCGCGAAATCTTCAATCTGTTTCCGTTTCTCTTTGATATTTGATTGCAACAAGAATTTGAAATCCGCAATGTAGCGTCCGTTTACGTTATTAGAAAAGGAAGAAAATGAAAGAAATAAAATGTTTTTGGGTATGTGAAATTGGAGAATTTGATCTGACTGGAGGGGATGTTCCCGCCCCCTTGCATCCGAGCTTGTATTGCTTCCATTCCTGTAGATTAGAGTAGTTTAGAATATCGCATTTGTAAAGAACGTTCCTTTCATTTGTAACTTTCCATTTTACTACGTTTTTTGTTTTGTTATATTTGTAGAATCCTGGAGGTGGAGGTGTTGCCCCTGCAAACCCAAGGCTTTCGCCCCTTCCTCCGGAACCCTACGATCGCAATGCAACAATTGATATTCCTCTTGATAATTCAAAGGTAGGTCAATACATGCAGGATGCTGAGTCACATTGTCAAGGCTTTTTTTCATCTGTTATTAACTTGTTTTACAAGCAATTAATGGTTTCTGTTTCCTTGTTATTTTTTGTTGCTTTAGGGTTTACAAGCAAAGGAGAAGGAACTCAAAGCTAAAGAGGCTGAATTGAAAAAGAGGGAACAGGTGCCTTCCCACAAACAAATTTCCCAGACCGTTACACGTAATTGTTGCAATGAGAACAAGAATAATCAACCACTTTTGATTGAATGTTTCGGTGAACAAAGTATTTGATCCAAGTTTTTTTGTTTGGACACCATTATACAGTCCTTGCAACATTGATTTAAATGAGATTTTTATGCTTTTAGACAAGTTACTCTTCTATTTAGTAAGTGGAGTTTATGATGTTATTATCCATTTCCAGGAACTAAAGCGGAAAGAAGATGCCATACAACGAGGTTCATCCTTTTTCTGATATGTTCTTGTGAAAAACTATGATACCCAAAGTCCAAATTTGTGATTCCCTTGTTTTGTTTGGCAGCTGGAGTTGTTATAGAGGAGAAGAACTGGCCTCCATTTTTCCCCATCATCCATCATGACATTGCAAACGAAATCCCAATCCATCTACAGAGGATCCAGTATGTTGCGTTCACAACATATTTGGGTAGGTTAAGTTTTATTTAATTTCTTTTGTGATCGTCCATACAGGTGCCTCAGTTTGCACATGATATTTGATTGCATAGTTTTCGTTGATCGCTTTTTTTGTTGTACATACTTTAGTAGTTTGAGATTAAAACTGCTTAAAAAAGTTATATCATTGCCAGAAAGCAGGATCTAGAGGCAATATAGATCGCATGCTTTGTTCAAACTTACTTCTTACAATTTTCAGAGCTGAGATTTGCTTTTGCTTTATTTGGTTGGGTTGAGTCGATCTTGTTGAACTTTTTACACCGTACCTTGTTTTGGTACCAAAAGATCTTCTAAGTTCAAACTATTAAATCAAATTGTTCTGTGGTTGCTTAAATTGACAAAGTTCATGGCATCTCTCAGGTTTGATTGTGTGTCTTCTGTGGAATTTTCTGGCAGTTACCGTAGCCTGGATCAAGGGAGAAGGTTTGATCTGTGACCTAGTGTAAACGTATTAACCATTATAAATAAACTCATAATTTAGTCTGAACTTGTATCCTCTTGCAGGTGTAATAATTTGGCTTCTGGCTATAATCTACTTCCTAGCAAGTGTTCCTGTAGCCTATTTCGTCTGGTATCGCCCTCTTTATCGTGCTATGAGGTAATTAAAATTCCATGGATATGACCTTGTTGTACATCACTATGCCAAAACTGTTACGAGATTCGAGGCCTATGCATTTGATGATTGTGCACTTCTCTGTCATTTGTCCAACCTATCTTATATCTTATACTTTTTTTTTCTGTTGTTTTTTCATCCTAACATATTAGGTCTCATAGTTGTAATTATGTACCATCTATTACAGGACTGATAGTGCTCTGAGTTTTGTTGGGTTTTTCTTGTCTTATCTGGTGAGTTTATTTTTGTTCTTCCTGCAGTTACATTTTCTGCATTCAAGATGTGAAAATTAGCTCACTTTCGTGCCCTGATTTTTTGCAGCTCCATATTTTGTTTTGTATTTACGCTGCAATTGCTCCTCCAATCTTTTTAAAAGGGAAATCTATCACGTAAGTTAAGTTTTCTTAGCTGTGCAGTCTACAAGGTTTAGTAATGGCTCAGTTACATTCATTCTTTCGTTTAGGGAGGAACGAGGCAGATATACAAAATGAATAAGGGATGCATCATTCAAAATCATACTTTTCAGCTTGACATTGCTCTAGTGTATAATTTGCATCCATGTGTGGGCTACTCCTATAATTATGATTTCGTGCAGATCTTGTTAGTTAAACTGTTCTCCCAATATTTGCTTCTTCTAGTCGTATTCCATTTGTCGTAATGAAATGATGTATATTAATCATATTTCCTCCTGAATACTGTTTTCTTTCTGTTCTGAAGCTGTTTTTTCTATGGTGATGATCTGTGATCATGTTGACAGGGGTATTTTGCCTGCCATAGAACTGCTGAGTTACAATGTTTCGGTTGGGGTAAGTTTCGGGCTTTCAGTATCCCATGTAGGCTTCAAGATAGAGACAAATTTGTTTTTCAGCTAGAAAGTAATCTAGCAGTGTTACTGACAAGAATTTCAATACAATCGAAAACCTTGAACTGTTATTCTGCTCTGTCAGTGGTTTGAATTTTTCTTTTGAGTTGATGACCTGGTGAAGACTCAGACTTTGTTTCTTCCTTTCAGATACTCTACTTGATTGGATTTGGGTTGTACGTCTGCGAAACCCTTCTCAGCATCTGGGTTATTCAGGTTCGACGATTAACCACCTTGCATTATTCTCTTGCCCTAACTCTGCATTTCCTCCCCCTCCCCATCGAAACTAATTCTTCGTGTGTCGCATTTGCAGCAAGTATACACGTATTTCCGAGGCAGCGGAAAGGCAGAACAGGTGAAGCGGGAGGCTGCACGAAGCACCATGATGGCAGGCAATGTGAAGTGGCGAAAACCTATGGATTTCGGGTAGAAACTTGTTAGGATTGTTTTTTTTTTTTTTTTTGGTCAATGGTTTCTTCACAAACCAGAAGATTTTGGGGATACTAGTATCTTGTTAGGCTGTGCAGTCAGATGGATGTTGCTCTTTGAGTTCCTACTTTTGTTCATTGAGTGGTAGTTCATGATTTTTAGTCACATAGGCCTTCCTTCGATTGTCTCTACAGTTTTGAATTTGCTTCAACTTCAGTCTCTGTATTCATATATAAATAATTGAAAACATTAACGTGTTTGGTAACTGTTTCGCTTTCAAGTGAAAATTAGTTCGAAAGTTATTTGATGAACGTTTTCGCTTTATGTATAACTAGGAAATGATTTTTTTTCTTGGGATCCTATTGTAAATTTTGTTGTCGAGAACATGTGACATAAAGTCCTGTGACACTTTTCGAAGTAAGGATGGATTTTAGTTGAATAGTAATTATTAAATTCATTGAATTTAATTTTCATACACTTTTATACTTCAAAAGTAATTATGAAATAAGTACTTATATTTAATGCTGACCATCAAAGTGCTTCTGACTCTAGTTGATAAGGAGTGTGATATTTACACATCATTTTTTACTTCTGACATACATTTTTAATTTTTGACTTATCGGATGAATTGAAGAAGATCAAGAAACAGAAATTCATAAGAGGTGTTTGAGAAGTGAAAAATTGTGTGTGGATAGCACATCCGTGGATAAAATATAACTCAGAAGTGTTTATACCTCACAAAAGCACACAGGCCTCGTTTGGCAGCTCGGACTGTACTGACTATTTATGTCGGATAGGATAAATAGCCACCAGATAGTAATGACTAAATTAGTCGGGTGTTTGGTGCAGTATCAGACTAGTGACCGTATTATTTATACTATATTTGATATTATACTAGATAGGAGGAATCAAACTTAAAAAAAAAAAAAAATTTAAAAAAAGTGAAATCATTTTTTTGTTCCCAGATCTCTCCGCACCCCCCAAACACCCTCCCTCTCTCTCCCTTCTTCTTCCCCGACTGCAGAAGAATCCCAAATTATTGTTCCCCAGCTCTCTCCGCCACACCCCCCAAACGCCCTCCCTTTCTCTCCCATATTCTTCTTCCCCGACTAAATAATCTGGACGTTTTGGTTGGTTTTATTAAGCGGGTGTATACCGTGTTATCCTATCCGACCGGTTAAATTAATCTAGCGCTTATTTAGTACGAGTAAACGTCAAACACCCGAATCCGTATAACTAATCTTATCCGATCCTTTATCCGATCTGCCAAATAGGGCCTTAGGCAGGTATCAAATGCTTTTTCAAAAAACTTGTAAGTGAATTTGTAATGAAAGTTTCAGAATATGTGGTCGGTTTTAGCCCCGAGGCTCATCTGGTTCCTACATGAGAGGACAAAGTTGCAGGGGGAAAAACCCTAATAACACACTCTGAGCTGAAAAAACCGGCGAGCCCCCACCGCCGAAGAGTCCGAGTAGAAAGCAGGCAATGATGCTCCACAGCCAGAGTTACAGCCCCATGGAATTAGGCCAAGAAAGTTTCCAGGGCTTAATTCACAGCCGCACTTTTTCACCAAGTAAGCTTCGAAACCCCCATCAATATCCTTTCAGAGCTAGGGCTTTTCTAGAATTTAGCTTATCCAATTCTCCGAATGTCGAAAACATTGGGAATTCACGAGCTCAGAAGCAGAATTTGAGAGGTTCTAGGGTTTTGGTAGGGTTTAAGCTTCAGTGTCATTCTAAATCGTTGGTTTTGCCCACGAAAGTTTCTTCTGTTAATGGTAAGAAGAAGGGGTATGGAGGCATGTTGCCTTCGATTTTACGGTCTATAGAGTCCGAAAACGATGTTGAAAAGACCCTTAATTCGTTAGGTGAAAATTTGAATCCGAAAGAACAGACTGTGATTCTCAAGGAACAAAAGAGCTGGGAAAGGGTTTTGCGCGTTTTCGAGTGGTTCAAGTCACAGAAAGAGTATGTTCCCAATGTAATACATTATAATGTGGTGCTTCGGAAACTGGGTAGGGCTCAGAAGTGGGATGAATTGAGGCTTTGTTGGATTGAAATGGCGAAAAGGGGTGTTCTGCCAACGAACAACACATATGCAATGCTCGTTGATGTGTATGGGAAAGCAGGCCTTGTGAAGGAAGCGCTTTTGTGGATTAAGCACATGAAACTGAGGGGAATGTTTCCGGATGATGTTACTATGAATACAGTTGTTCGGGCATTGAAGGATGCAGGAGAGTTTGATAGGGCAGACAAGTTTTATAAGGATTGGTGTACTGGGAAGGTTGAGCTCGATGAGCTTGATTTGGATTCTATGGGTGACTCTGTGAATGGTTCTGACTCAGAGCCTATTAGTTTTAAGCACTTCTTGTCCACTGAACTTTTCAAGACAGGTGGGAGAATTCCCACGTCAAAGATTACGACCTCATTGGATACACAGAACTCTGATCGAAAACCACGACAGGCATCTACATATAATGCTTTGATTGATTTGTACGGGAAGGCAGGGCGTCTTGATGATGCTGCTAATGTGTTTGGAGAAATGATGAAGTCTGGGGTGCCAATGGATGTTATAACTTTCAACACTATGATCTTTACTTGTGGAAGTCATGGTCATTTGTTGGAAGCGGAAACTTTGCTTGGTAAGATGGAAGAAAGGGGAATTTCTCCTGACACAAGAACTTATAACATTTTTCTATCTCTGTATGCTGATGTGGGGAACATTGATGCTGCTCTGAACTGTTATACAAAGATCAGAGAGGTGGGTCTTTCCCCAGACATCGTATCTCACAGGACTATTCTTCATGTGTTATGTGAGAGAAACATGGTCCGAGAAGTGGAGACTGTGATTCGGGATATGGAGAAATCTGGTGTGCGCGTCGATGAGCATTCTGTTCCTGGTGTCATCAAGATGTATATTAACGAAGGACAGCTTGTTCGGGCAAAGTTGTTTTACGAGAAATGTCAGTTGATTGGTGAGCTGTCATCAAAGACATGTGCAGCAATTATAGATGCATATGCTGAAAAGAGATTTTGGACTGAAGCTGAGGCGGTATTCTATAGGAAGAAAGACTTGGTGAGACAGAAGAAGGATGTTGTGGAGTATAACGTCATGATCAAAGCTTATGGCAAGGCAAAGCTTTATGATAAAGCTTTTTCTCTCTTCAAGGGCATGAGAAATCATGGGACTTGGCCCGATAACTGCACATATAATTCTCTCATTCAGATGTTCTCAGGAGGTGATTTAGTGGACCAGGCAAGGGATGTTTTAACAGAAATGCGGGAAATGGGTTTTAAGCCACACTCTCTAGCCTTCTCTGCTCTAATTGCATGCTGCGCTCGCCTTGGCCAGCTTTCTGATGCAGTTGATGTGTACCAAGACTTGGTAAATTCAGGGGTCAAACCAAATGAATTTGTATATGGTTCTTTGATCAACGGATTTGTAGAAACTGGCAGAGTTGAGGAAGCATTAAAGTATTTTCGGCACATGGAAGAATCTGGGATTTCTGCAAATCAAATAATTCTTACTTCCCTCATAAAGGCATATGGTAAGGTGGACTCCCTTGATGGAGCGAAAGTACTCTATGAGAAGTTGAAAGATCTAGAGGGTGCCCGAGATATTGTTGCATCTAACAGCATGATCGATCTCTATGCAGATCGTGGGATGGTGACTGAAGCTGAATTGGTTTTTGAAAAACTGAGAGCCAAGGGTTGGGCAAATGAGATAACATATGCGACCATGATATATCTTTACAAGAGTGTGGGCATGCTTGATGAAGCCATTGATATAGCAGAGGAAATGAAACTGTCAGGTCTAGTGAGGGACTGCGGTTCATTTAACAAGGTAATGTCATGTTATGCCATTAATGGGCAGCTACGAGAATGTGGCGAATTATTGCATGAGATGGTAACTCGGAAACTCTTGCCAGACATCGGGACTTTTAAAGTATTATTCACGATATTGAAAAAAGGTGTTTCAGTTGAAGCCGTAACGCAGTTAGAGTCATCCTACCATGAAGGGAAACCTTACTCTAGGCAAGCGATCATCACCTCTGTCTTCTCTATGGTGGGTATGCATGCTTTGGCGCTCGAATCCTGTGAAAAATTCACAAAAGCTGATGTAAAGCTTGATTCTTTTCTCTATAATGTTGCAATACATGCTTATGGGGCGGCTGGGGAGATCGACAAGGCTTTGAACATGTTCATGAGAATGCAAGATGAAAACTTGGAACCAGACATTGTAACGTATATTAACTTAGTACGTTGCTATGGAAAAGCTGGTATGCTTGAAGGTGTGAAGCGAATATACAGCCAGCTGAAATATGAAGAGACAGAGCCAAATCATTCCTTGTACAAAGCCGTTCTTGATGCCTATACAGATGCCAACAGGCATGACCTTGCCAAATTGGTTAGCCAAGAGATGAGATACGCCTTCTACTCAGACCAGCAGACGGTTTCCGAAACTAAAGACGAGTCTGATGAGGCAACTTCAGAGCTAGAGGATTTGTAATTATTTTGATGTGATAAACTCCATGCGGTGTTACACTGTACAGAAACACATTTGTTCATGCATCTAATACTGTATCGTATAAATGTACCAGGTTCGACGGAACATGTACTGTATTTCCCATTTGTTAAATTAAATATCAATAATATTCCAACACTAAGCGCAATTCTCTTATCCGATTTAGTAGGGAAAAATGGGAACCATTCAAATTTCATGGATTGCAATGAAGAACATGTATTGACTTTCAGATAATACCCCTACACAACAGGAAATTTGATTCTACTACGAATTTCCACATCTCCGACATGGAGATTAGAACCCAATTTACCGTTGGATTCAATCCAGCTCTTAGCCGGCATCTTTTTAACCCCTCTCTGTTGCATTATCCTCCCAATCTCCGAGGCGTCATTCCATCGGCCTACTTTTCTATACACATTAGCTAGAAGAACGTAACTCAGATGGTAGTCCGGTTCTAGTTCTATCATTTTCTTCGCTATGCGCTCTGAGGTAGCAAGGTTCAAACAGGTTGTGCTAGCACCTAGAAGAACTGCCCAAAGAGACGAATCGTTCCTGCAATCTGCATTCTGTATCAAATTCTCAGCTTCTTCCAGTAGCCCCGCACGGCCTAGAAGATCAACCATACAACAATAATGTTCAATGCCAGGTTTAATCCCGTACTCTTTTGTCATCGCAATAAAGTTGCTTCGTCCTTGGTCAACCAAACCTGCATGACTACAAGCAAAAAGAACCCCTATAAAGCTGATATAATCCGGCCTAATCCCATCGTTAATCATCTCATCAAATATTTTAAGAGCTTCTTCACCTCCCCCATTCTGAGCAAACCCACAAATCATGGAGTTCCATGTTATCAAATTCCTAACTGGCATCTTCACAAAAACTCTACGGGCAAAATCTATGTTGCCACACTTTGCGTAAAGATTAACTAAAGCTGATTCTACAATAACATCTCTCCAACCACAACTTCTCACATACTGGCAGTGAACCTCTTTCCCGTGTTGTACAGCTGCCAAACCTGCGCACGCACGAAGGACAGTTCCAAAACTGTAGAGGTCGGTCTCTTCCATTTCCCTGAAATGCTTAACGACAGATTCAAAGTCTCCAGCTTGACAGTACACCCCTAGTAATGCAGACCAAGAAACTGAGTTCTTCTTTGACATCCTATCAAAAACACGCCGAGCATTCTCTACTGACCCACATTTTCCATACATGTCAACCAAGCTACTCTCAACAACCACATTCCCATAAAGTCCATATGTAATGACCTTAGCATGCACTTCTCTACCTTGCCTCAGCCTCCCCAAGTTGCCACAAGCAGTCAATACCGTCCCAAACGTAAAACCATCCGGCGACAACCCATGATTTCTCTGCATCAAATAAAAGAACCCCAATGCTTCCTCAAACAAATCGCTTCTTGTGAAGGCAGAAATAACCGATGTCCAGCATATAGCACCTGGTTCAGACATTTCATCAAACAGCCGGCGTGCATCTTCCGACCTATAATTCCTCCCGTACATGTATATCAAAGCACTAACAATCACATCATTCGAATCGAACCCACGCCGGAAAACAACTCCGTGAAAGCACAGGCCAAGCCTCAAGTCCCCAACCTCCGAACAAGCTTTAACCACAGCAGACAAAGTGAAGGCATTTGGCTCAATCCCAAATTTCAACATCTCCCAAAACATTTCAATCGAATTTCCAGGCTTTCCAGCCCGAACGTACCCGGTGATCATCGACGTCCAAGAAATCACATCCTTAACAAAAAGACCATCAAACACTCTCCGAGTCTCCGACATATTCGGAACCAACTTGAAATACAGAGCAAGCAAGCTGTTCCCAACGAACCGATCGGTTTCAAGGCCGGACTTAACGACATGGGCATGTACTTGGAGGCCATGGTTGAATGAAACAGCTTTGGTGCAAGTCTGTAAGAGCGAAGCGTAAAGGATCGGTTTGAGGGTGATTTCGCCGGAATCAATGGAGTTGAGGACCCTAATCGCATCGGAGAGTAAGCCCAACTTGCAGAGTTGGAGGATTTTGGATTGTTTGGATGATGGGGTTTTGGTATTTTGAAGATTGAAGGAGGTGAGAGAGCTGCAATGGCGTTTGAAGACGAGCTTCATGAAAAAATGGGGACGACCGGCGAAAACGAACTTTTGAAATATATAGCCGTTTGAAAACTCTATTCGCCCATTGATTGAGCATGTCGGGATTGAGTTCATTCATTAAATAATCCGGATCATTAAAATTTGATCTAACAGTTACAAATAGAGACTCTTTAAATGTTATAATAATTGTAACCGTTTGATCAAATTTTAATGGTTCGGATCATTTAATGAGTGAGTTCAGTTCCTTTGGGTCCGAATGAGATCCGGTTCCTTTTTAAAATAGCTTAAAGGACTTTTGTTAAAAATATTTTTAGAACTAATTTTTGATAAAAATGGCAATAAATTTAAAAATACACTTAATGTGCTTCCTCCATTTGCATATCTCCAATCTTTTGAAGTCGAACATAAGATAATGTATATACATATATTAGTGTACCTACTTAATAAGTCAATTATAATTAAGTATCAGACTCGATATTGATCAGAATCGAACATAAAAATTTTCACTTATAAAAAGCAAAAAAATAAAATAAAATAAAAATAAACATCACTCGACTTAAACGTCAATGATAACAAAAAAATTTAGTACGACAGCAATTTTCCACATAAGTGTAAAATGTGTTATTCTATCACCATCTTTGTCACTTGGTTAAATTGATTTTATAACGAAAGTTATAAATGCAATTTGATGACACCATAAAATTAAAATGGACATCATCTTTTAGTTGTGAGTTGCTACATTTGACCTAATAAGTCATTTAATTGAAAGGATGGATCATTTGACGCATTAATAATGTTTCCAACCGCCACATGTGTAAAGTCAATTTTCCTTTCCAATTTTCTCAGTAGCCAAACAGAAGTTAACTCCATTTTTTTCCCACTTGGAAGTTGGAAGACAGATGGCCGTTGGATTTTCAAGGATTTGACCATTTAACTCGGCCAACCGAAAGAGTAATTTTTCGGTGTACCCGGCACACCAAATTTTTTTGGTGTACCCTCACTCATAATGGTGAGGGTGCACCAAAAAAATTTGGTACACCCTCACTTTTTGTACACCAAAAAAATTTTAATGAGTGAGGGTACACCTAAAAATTTTTCCAACCGAAAGACCTACTAACTGCCACCCACATATTCACCGTCTGACCCAATACTAATCACCAGATCATCGTCAGGCCACCACATGTACGGCCAAGATCTCATCTCCCATCACTCCCAGCCAGCTGGCAAAAATATACTGGCCTTGTTGCATGATCCATAATGCTTAAACGCCGAACTACTCTATTCCCCCAAAACCTAACGATCCATCATCCCCTACTCATCCAACGGTCAAAAACGACGCAATGCCAATAAAACTTGCTCGATGTATAACTTGTCTGATGCGTATATAAACAAATGTTAATTTCTTATTTTTCACCTCCAAAGCCAACATCTCACATTTTTGTTCTCTCTTCAGAAGTTTGTTAAAAAGCGAAACCAAAACCGAAACTGAAAGAGGATGGTGGTGTTTTGTTTTCTGGTGGATCAGAAGAGGCAAGTGCAGGGGAGCAAGCCGGCGGCGGGAATATGCTCGCGGTGCGGCGGAGGAGCGAGCGTGGCGGACATGAAGACCGCTACAAGATTCTGCTACGTCCCGTTTTATTGGAAATCTTGGAAAGCAATCATATGTACTTTCTGTGGAGCTATTCTTCGATCTTACCGATAGATTATTGGCTATTTTGCATGTTTCTCCTAGCAAAAGGGGTAATTCGTACTCTCTTGCTTGTTATGGTTGCTTTGCATCAAACTTACACATCATGGATAGCTAGCTAGTAAGGTCTTTAATTTAAGGGAACTTTAACGAAAAACTCCTGGTACTGTTCACTTTAGTGAAAAACCACATTTTTGTACTAAAAAGTCAATCATGTACTATTCACTTTACCCTTTATTTTGTCATTTTCGTTAAAACTCAAAGTTTTCAATCATTTTTCATTAGTTTTTCCTTAATTTAATGATTATTTTGATGGATATCCATAATTATTTTATTTTTCATATCTTTTATTTTGTGTTATCCACGTTTCTCAGTTCAATTCTCGTCAAATGCCGCTTAAACTTCTTGTTTTAGAGACAGTTTACTTACGCCTAGTGCAATGCGTCGGACTCAACTCAGCCTAATGACTATAATTGCGAGAATTAACCCAATGCGATACCTATAAGCAAATCTTTATTTGGTTAATTTTTTTCTTTTTATGTTTTATTGCATCTCTGTATTTATATTTGGTTTGCGGGTGGTTGCGTTCATGGTGTGGAATTTAAGTAGAGAGAGAGGTGAAGGCAGGCCGGTTGGAACTTGGAAGTCGACACATTCAAATTCGGCCAAACGAAATGAAGGCAAAGTTTGGTGTTAGGTTGGGGGGTGAAAATAAAACCATAAACCTTGTGCTACTCACTCACATGGCCTCTCATTTTCAGCGTAATCTGGCTCCTTCTGTATGCAATAAATACCATGCAAGATATTTTTTGGTGTGCTGTGAACACGGCCCAGTACACTAATTATCATATTATAAGTTATTGGATACTTGACAAATTTTTTCCAATCATTTGTATTTTGATACTTGGTATAATTGACTGTGTTTCTGACACGTTAAAAAACTTCTCCAAATATATAAGTAAAGGAAAATGTATACTAATCTTTTGACTTTTGATAGTGGGTAAGTGTCTTGAGACTCCATAAAACAGTTGCAAAGGTATAGGCGCTCCGGTTTAATAATGCGTTGTCATATTGATAAAACTTGCACATAATAATGTATTATTGGACAAAAACATCACATGACAATAGATTCGTTCGGTACATTTTAAATAAGGCATCGCAAAATGAAAATGGGTGTAATCAATGATGCAAGATTGTTTCATGGAATATACAAGCATGAAGTTGGAAAGAGCAATGATGGGGAGACTATTTATTTTAAATTATATTTTGTAAATCATATGACGTGTTTGTGGATGGTGGAAGTATTACTTAAATATTAATTAACGTGCTTATTTTCTATTGGTGACACATTACATGGTTTCAATTTGATCTAAAAAGTTGGTTTTCGGTGGGGGTTTAGATAAAACGACGCCTTATAAAGAAAATTGATCATGCAAGTTGTGGATGGAATCAAATGGATATGAAGAAAATTGATTCTACACTTGCACTTGATTTTAATGTAAATTGGATCTCATCCTTTGAGAAGTTTAGTATTGAGTTGTCGTGCTCTTATGCATTAAAGTTAGTTTTGTGAAATTCGACATATTTATAGTGAAATGAATTTTCTTACTAAGATTTGGCTTGTTTGGGTTATCATGCAATTTGAGTCTAGTCTTTTTAAGCAAGCCCTCCTTCTTGTTGCTGGTTGTTAGTTGCATATATAATTGAGGTCTTGTGGCTCTATGATGTTCTTATGTAAGTAATCTTTTATTTTCCTTCGAATTTATGCCCCGTTGTCAATAAAAAGAAAGAAAATTGCTTCAGTGGAGGCCTTCTTTTTTGTAGGGCAAACTGATTATACTAATAAAGTATAAAATATTGATTCTACAAATAGTTAAACTAATTTTACTAATAAAGAATACCAACTGATTCTACATATAATTTTGAAAGTGCTCTTGCAACAATGGTCAGAAAACGATTGGGCTAATAGTAGGGGGTGTAAATTCGTTGACGTTTATACTAGATAAACTTTGTTAAATAACAAGTATATCAGGAACATGAATTGAAATTTCAAAATTCTAGTTTGTTCGTTTTTGGATTTGGTTTGTTCGGATTTAAACTTTTGTCTCTCCATAAAGTAACTCAAAACTAGTGAAATTTTATGAAATATAAGTTATGTTTTTGTGTCTTTAGATAGAGGTCTCATTCTTTAACCCATATTTTAATCTAGGACTGGCTTTTTACGAAACCATGAAACGTTGTCGTATGAGCTCCTTCAAAATTTTAATTTTCGTTTAAATAACTAATATACCGAACACTCCGCCATCTTTATATTCTCGTCTGAAAAATGTTCAAAACCCTAGCTAGGGTTTAAGCGCACCTGACCGTTTCCAATCCAAAACCCCAAAATCTATAAATTCGCTCTGCTTTTCAGTTCCCATGGATTTTCACTCGCCTATTTTCCCCACCCAATTCCTTCTTTCGTACGCTCGCAGATGGTAGGGCTCATCCCTCAGCTAACACTCGAAGACCTCGAACGAGCTTCAAAGCCCAAGAATTTAAAGGACCCGCCCGACCCCGTTGATCCCCGAGACTTGTCGGTTGCAGATTCGTTCTTGGATTTTGATTCCATAGAGGATTGGTTCAAGAATATTCCGAGTTCTGATATGGCCGAAACAGGGCAGGTTAAGGCTGATGCTGTTGAAGCAGAGTATATTGCAGGTGGGTTCGAGCCGGCAGGTGGTGGGTCTGTGCCGATTGATTGTGGGTCTGGTTGTGTGGTGAAGTTGGAGGGTCAACTGTTGGAGAATTCGGGTTGTTCGATTGCGGAAGAGTTGGGAAAGGTTAATTTGCTTGGAGGGTGTGAAGAAAGTTCGGTTCTTGATGGTCGGAATGGTGTGAAGAGTGAAACAGTGACGCGTGATATCGTGGAAATGGAACCGGTGAGTAATGAGAATGAGAGTGAGGTTTCAAAGTCGAAGTTCGAAGGCGAAAATGGGGTGGGGAGTGAAATGGTGAGTGGGAATGGTGGGAAGAGTGGAGCAGGGAATAGTGAGTCCGAGAGTGAAAGCTCGGAGTCTGAGAGTGAGAGTTCGGAGTCATCATCGTCGAGTGGGAGCTCTAGTGATGATGACAGCAGTGATGATGATGAAAAGGAAAACAGGAAAGGGAAAATGAATGTGGAGGTGGAGGAGAGGGACGAGGGTGGTGAAATGGAAGAAGGTGAGATAAGGGATGCTGATGGAAGGGAGAAGGAAGATACGACATTCGATAAAGATAATGAAATTTTTGATGATGAAGGTGAAGATGAAGATGAATTGGTTGCTTGGACCGATGCTGAAACTTTTGATGAGGGAGACGGCGATGAGGATGATCTTGGAGATCTGAAAGGACCCATTAGGTCCAAGAATGAGCTTGAGGTAAAAATTAAAAAAAAGGAATTGTTCGATTCTCTCTTGCTTTGGAGAAATTAATGGATTTGTGCATATTTCAATTGATAAGCTGCTATGAACAATTGGTGAGAGGTAGACATAGAGTCCCTATTTGGTTTTGTTAGGTCGTCACTGATAGGCTTAGGTGAGGAGTACAGGTTTATTTCGTTTTAGTGCAAATAAGATAGCCAACCTCAACTATTATGGTGGAGGCTTTTCCGACTTTGGTTTGGGATCGGGGAAAAGAAAGGGTACTTAGGATCATCTTTAAGCAAGCAAGAAAGTCGTATTCTGGATTTTCGGTATTTTGGTCTGATATATAGAATACCCTTTAGTGAATTAAGTAGCTTGTTTGGTTACTCTGGAATTGTTAACGCATGACAAAAAATCAACTTTTTCTGAAGGTGCATTACTTGCAAATCCTTGGTGGAATTAGCTTTCTATATTTCTGTTTGCCATTTTCTTGATTCTTTGATATCTTAAAACATGCAATGCTTGCAAAACCTTTAGTGAAATTAGCTTTCTGGAGTATATATTACTGCTTCAAAATAGCTTGACAGGATTGTTTTGAATTTTGCAGGTGCTTCCCCCAATTCCTCCAGTGGAGGTGACCTTGCAACCACATCATCAGATGCAACCTGTGGGAGCTGTCTTATCGGTAAGCTCATAATGATGTGAAGCCTATTTTTTTTATCTTGATTGTGCAAGTAAGCCTATATCGGAACTTGAACTTCATCAATCTCTGGTGTCGTTGAAAATTTAGAATCTAGGTGACACTCCAGAAGGTGCATATTGTGATTTGTGGTATTGATGCCTGCAATTACATCAGTTTGATGACAATTTGAATTTTTACAGGTTCTTGGTACCCAAGTCATTGTAGAAGGGGTCGAGAAGCACAACCCTCTAAACGAGGGTTCAATTTTGTGGATAACCGAAAGCAGATCTCCGTTGGGGTTGATAGATGAAATCTTTGGACCTGTGATACAGCCTTATTATGTGGTGCGATACAATTCAGAAAGTGAAATCCCTAGTGGAATACAAGCGGGCATTTTTATCTCTTTTGTTCCGGAGTTTGCAGATCATGTGCTGAATAACAAGGATGTGTACAAAAAGGGTTATGATGCATCTGGTGCAAATGATGAAGAGATATTTGATGAGGCAGAATTTTCAGATGATGAGAAAGAGGCTGAATACAGGAGGATGCAAAAAATGTCAAAGAGGGGAATGAGTGACCAAAATGCTGGCAACAAGAAATACGACAGAAAGAAGGGTAAAAATAAGCCGGAACCTTGGAATAGTGGTCAACCTTCACCCCAGAAAGCACCAACGGATGCAGGTCAGCAACCTCCCAATCAACACCATCTTCATTTCTCTCCAGGTGCACCATCTTCTTCTGCAGTATCACAAGGATTGGCTAGTGGGACTGGATTAGTTCCACCATTTCCAGCTCCTACACTGCCTGCTGGTATCAACGCAACTTCAAATGGACTGTGGACAAAGGGAACGCCGTTTCAACCACAAAATACATCCTTCCCTAATGGATTTCTAAATAATAGTTTGCCATGTCTTCCACAGTATAATCCTCAATATCCGTATCAAATGTCTATTCCAAACAGAATGCCGTTGTATCAGCAGGCAGGTGCTGTCCTACCAGGTCAACAGTCGAATGTCTTTACAGGACCCGTATATTCACAAGGGATGGTGGGTCAACACGGCTTCAATCAGGAAGCATTTGGGATAGGTTTACAGGGCCAACCCATTCCAGGCCAACAATTCAATGCCTTTGCAGGACCCATGTATCCACAGGGGCTGGTGGGTCAACTTGGTTTCAACCAAAACGCATTCGGGATGGGTTTACAGGGCCAACCTACTCACCCGATGTTCAATGCAGAACAAGGAATGCCGTCGAATGGATTACGTGCTGAACAGAACCATAATATGCCACAACCTGCTGGAAATGCAGGCAACTTGGACAGCCGGCAATTTAGTCAGGGCGCATCTTCTAATCGTGGAAGGAGACCCTCCCATCGTGGGGGTCGTCATTTTGGAAGGGGAAGAGGTAGGCAGCACTCGAGGTGAAAGTTACGGCATGCTCTGCTGCACCAAGCACACTGCAGTTACAAATAGGCTTTGAAAAGAAAATTTCTTGGCTTTTTGTATTCGGTTTTTATCGTTTTTATATGGAAGAACAGATGGTGAACATGTTCCCCATTTAAAATGCCACATCCGCCTTGGTTGCGGTTAATTTTGAACATTGGCAAATTTTGGTTTAGTAAAAACGTAGAAAATTTTCGGTTAATCCTTTCAAGCGTACTCATTTTGTTGTGAAGTGGAAGCAAACTTTCAAGCCCCAAATTAATGAGAAAAATGGAACGAGTTCATCGTCAGATAGTGTCTCAATTCAATAAACACATTGCTATGTGAAGAAAAACTTACACATGACAATGCATTATTGAACAAGTGACGACACATAATGGTGAACTTCACCAAATTTATACTCTTGTTAGACGGTAAGAGTACGTTTACAAACAATGCAAGGGTCTCTCCTTAAAAAGGGGCATATCAATCTAAGTACACATCAATTCAAGGAATCTTAAATAATTTAAAGAAAATATAACAGAAATATCACCAAGTAACAAAATATTAATGATGAGAATAAATTATCAAATTAGAAGGTTCTAATCAGTCAAGAGAACAAGAGACATTGAACTTGGGAAACAGTCATTGGAAGTAGCTTTTTAATGCTTTTTTTGCTTCCCTTGAAGGTTTCCAAATGTGGGGCTGGTGGAGGTGCTTCCAATGCGGCGATAAGGGTACAAGTAACCCATATGATCAAAAGAGAATATCAGGACTGCAGACTGGAAATTCAAGTTTTAGCATTCCTTGTGAAGTCAGTGCAAGTCTGGCAGCCGCAATCCGAGAAACGACAGATTTCGCACCCAAAGCACACACAAGAAGTACAGCCTTGGCATGTCGGAGAACGGCTGCAGCCTCTGTATACCCTTCGACTTGCTCGTTCATCTTCATCATCACAAGTAATCCTGAAGTACAGAAACAACCATTCACATTATGATTACTGAACCTTTAAACATATATATTAACGACAACAAACCAACAGTGTTTACATCCTGGGTGTGCGCACTAGTTCACAGCCTACCGTCGTGAGCTAAAATGCCGACTGGTGAATGTAATGGAATAACATCAACATTTACATTTTACTCCCCCACCCGAAAAGTCCCTATCTGCTTCGTAGTGTTTTCTTAAATGCCTATTTGTTATCCTTAAGATAACTTGAATGGCAACAAACTACAATTATTAGATGTGTCTGTCCGCACAAACATCATCCACTCTACCCTAGAAAGTAACAACTAGAGTCAATTTTCCAGAAACGATGCTGCAATCCATATTTAAGCAGCTAGTCCGGCTAATTCCTAACTAAATCCATGAAGATGGATGAACAGTATACATAAACATAAAATAGGCGATCACAAAAGAAGCTACAAGAAGCAATCACTCAATTGTTCCAAAAACTGTCGATAGAACGGCATATTAAAACCAAACTAAATTATAAAATCATTAGCATAAGGATGGAACAAATAAGTTATTCATATATTTCACATCCGTGAGCTAAAACTAAAATTAGTGCATGGTTCATGAATGGTTGATGGCCTCTAGTATAAGAGAGAAAACAACTTGATCAATACCGAGTAGAAGTATTTGTTCAGTGTAAGAGAGGAACATACTTGTCATACGGCAGATCAGCACATTTCCAATTCACATCAGCCAAAGCGTCATGGTGAACCCGACACTCCTCTTTTGTCCGGAGGCGAAACCTGCGCTCCTTGTTGCATCTAGTACAGGAGACAAACTCATCGCGGTGACAAACACGTCCATTGTTGGACCTGTGGGAACCATTAGCACTTTTTGATGCCTCATTATGGTACTTGAGCAGCACTGTTTTACACAGCGGAACCTTCTTTCCATTATCAATTATCCAAACATTATTTTTCCATTTTCTAGCCGTCTCTCTTCCAGAATGTTTCTCAAATGCGGCAGGAGTCAGTTTTCCTAGTGATTGAAATACAAAGGGAAAATAAATAAGATGGTTATAAGCACGAAACCTCAATCTGAGCTTTCGTCATGACCATTAAAGTAGTTAAACAATACTTAAAACGCATGCATACCAACTTCTACCATTTTTTCTGGACACTATCAACAGATCAAACGAACTACATAAATAAATACTAATGTTTTCACCTCTAACTTGTTAGAACCACAAAAAGGGCTGACAGTACACAAAGGTTGTAAGCAGGTGGTCTCCATTATTGGTCAAGACTATGTCTTTAAAGGCAGCAATTTGCTCCACAGACAGAACAACTGTCCTTGATGGACTAAGCTGTCTTATATGAGAAAAAGATACAGGCAATTCAATGTACATAAAGACATAAGAGTCTTGTTATGAGATGCTCTAATGTTTCGGGTGTGTGCCAAATTCAGATTCAGGAAGCAATCTTGTGGAATTCTCTCATGAACTATATTATGGAAAAATGAGATATGGCACACCCAATATCTGCAACTAAAGTGAAAGAAGATGCACTACTTTCGGATCCTCGGTTGTCAGAAAAGAGGTAATCTTAAAATCTCCATGCCATATACTCAGTGCTTATTGATAATAGCACTGTAGAAACAAAACCAGATGCGCATAGAGACATCAAATAACACAGCCAAGCTTGAAAAGTTATAAGCTTGGTTGCTCATGAAATAACACATGGGATTATCAATGCTCGTAATCCAAGGATGAAAAAGCAATTCCATCAACCATATAAATACATGAAAGACGAAAGAAAGATATGCAAAACCCTACAATGACTAAACCATGCTATGCAACTTTACAACATCTTACTCTGTAGAAGAGAAAGAACAGAACTCAGGACATATTCGAAAGCAAAACCTCGAAAAACAATCTAATTATGAGGTTGTGATCGCCACGAAACTGGCAATGTAGGTTTCATTCTCAACACACCTACTTAAAGAAAAGCTCTTTACTCCACAAACAAGCCAGAAACCATCTGAACTCCACCATATGAAGAGTAGGCAAACATATAGCTACTGTATACCCAGCAAGGAGAAGGCATTCAGTGAGACAAAACAACATACACCTCAACTGTATACCCAGCAAAAATACTGTGAACAGCTTGCAAAGCAAAAGCAAAAGCAAACGCTCGTCGTCATCAAATACAAACCCAACAGATTAGGCAGACCGGAAAGGGACAGACAGACTGCAGCCATCAACGTCAAAACCTAGTCCACGATGAACTAAAAGAAGCTCAAAACGCAAACAACATGCATTAAAAATAAAAACCCTTTTTCCCAAAAAGCAACAAAGTGAGAGAGATCAAAACGGCAGAGAGAAAGACCTTCCTGACAGCCAGGGGTGCACTCGCAGGTGATTTCGAGGTCACCATTGACGAAAACCCTAAGCCTCCCGACTGCATCACCGTATCTGTGGCTGGTGCAGCCGCACGTGACCTCTATATGGTCCGACCCTCTATTCACCCCGCTCATCTCTTTCAGCTCATCGTCGCTAAACAGCACCAACCCACTTTCTCTCTCTATCCCATTCGCCATTTTCTCGATTCTCTCTCTAAAAAGGTGAAGTCTTGATCGAAACCCAGAAATCCCAGAAGGTTAAATCGAAGGAAGAGTCAGAGAAAACGGAAGAAAATCAAAGAAAATAACATGGGTTTTCTGGGCAGTATTGGGACCAAGAGGTAAAACTCGAGAAAAATAAGCCCAGAAAACCACAAAGAGAGAGAGAGAGAGAGAGAGAGGGAGGGACGGAGAGGCGAGTGCGGTAATTAGAAGGGTTTCTAAGAGGCACGCATCTCCATGGATTTATTCCGAGAGATCTGGTGGAGGAAAAAGTTGAAAGTTGTAGTCTTTTTGTAGGTAGAAAGATAAAAATAATGAGGAAAAAACTGGAAGCGTCAAAGAGTTTGTTAGAGAGAGAAAGTGTGGGTGAGATGAGAGAGATAGGGCGAGAGGTTTGTTGGTAATGGGGTTGAATGAAATATGAATGAACGAAATATGAGCTGGCTGTCGTGGGGTGGAGTTCAGCCGAGAAGAGTGAGAAGGAGTTAAAGCCCTCTCTCTCTCATCACTCTCTCTCTCCTCTCGCTTTCTCTCTCTACTAGCTGCCAATTGCAAGAGATGCATGATATGACATGAAAGAAAGGGAAAAAAATTGGGTCTTGGGGTCGGGGGCTTTTCGTTTATGGAAAATCCCTCTCGTGGGAAGCAGACGAGGTTTTCGGTTTCTGTTTAAGTCCTTTTTTTACTTTCTTCTTTTCTTTTTACTCTTGCTCGGAGATTTGAACTGTTTTCATAAAAATGGTATCTAAAATTCCAGCGATATTCTACATTAAATTATAAAAAATGAATTCAAGATTGACGGATAAAAGGGCATAATGATCTAGTCAATTTAGCGTATAAAATAAAGCTAAAATTATTCTTCATCTTTTTTATCTCTTACTCACTTTTCTTAATTTCTGATCGTCAAATCAAACAAGTTGATAAAATACATTAAACAAAATTTAATAAAAATGTGCAAAGAGTAAAATAAAATGGGTAAATATCATTATTCTAAATAAAGTCATAAACTTTGTTACTGTTTTACTGTGGTGGTGAAGTGAGGTGAGATGTGAGAGGTGCTGGCTGACGCCAGGCAACCTGAGAGACAGAGGTGTAAGGATTTGATGCAGAAAGTGTTGGGAAGAGATGAGTTTGGTGCTGGACATTTATCAGTTAAGTGGTCCGCAGACCCAAAATTGTGATCAGAAAATGGAGGTTTATACTTGGTATTCTCGAGAATCGGGATCGGAAAGCTGTAGCAATGACAGCGATTTTTAGTTAGCTTTAGGCTTGAGCAGTGTTTGGTTTCTGAGAAAAATTTCAAATATTGAACCCGACTGTTGTGTAAAACCCAACCCAAACCTAAACCCTTTTGACCCTTTTACCACACACATGAGTCAAATGGTTTAATATACGTTTAGTTTTTTGACCGTTAATTGATTGATCGCAAAGTACGAGCCAAACTAATATTTTAGACTTTTTTGGTGTTGCGAAGAAACTTTGACATAACTATCAAACTAATGTAACTCTCACATTAATGAGTGAGATTAACATGTTTTTGAAATAAGCTCGTATGGATAAGGTGCCAAACAACTCTATTCAAATTCTTGTTAATCTTGAACATAAATTTGAATAGAGCAGCCTGATTTATGTGTGCATAAAAGAAAA